CCCCCCCCGGCCTCTAAAGGTTAAATATAACTAATATTTGACCAATACGCTTTGTTCTATATAAAAATCCATTTTCTAATTCATACTAATTATACCTATTTAATAAAACTAATTGTAAATATGTTAAACTTTTATGAAATAAATCTGTACATGCAGATATATAAATTCCATTAACAAGTACTTTTGCTTTATAAAAAAGTAATTGTAGTAAAAGATAAATAAATACCATGTTTGCTTTCAATATCTTGTACGCTTCTACTTTCCCTGGCTGATTCTGTATTCATATCTGTGTTTCTTGCGTCCTGATTTGAAATTTGACTAGAATTATCAGTTGCGTCCTCTTGTGGTTTGTATGGCGTCACAACTTGACGGGGCAAATGCGGATACTTTCCACCAAGAAAGCTGATATCACCAAAATATGCTCCATCTAAACCCACATGACCGGTATGCTTCAGATCGCCCTGTGGTGAGGATATCATGTCCGTGCGAATTTTTCTACGCTGCGAGGAGTAAGCATTTTTACCATCTCCTCGTGTGAATTCTCCAGGTTTGTTACTAGGCAGATTAGAACCGAGATACGCGATTGTGTGAGCCGGATTAAAGAATCCCGTTTTGCCATTATTTAGAACGCCTTTCCATAAAGTATTGGTGCTACCTTTATCTAGAACTGTGATTATATCACTCTGCCTATAAACGAGTTGGCCAGGTTCGATGCTATCTTGGACTGCTTGCACCTGCTCAGGTTTCAATTCGGGCAATAAATTAATTAAGTCGGCGAATTTGGGCCTTTTCAAAGGTTCATGTTGCCAACATTGTTGCATCAAAGAAAAATATTCTTTCGGACAGCACTCAGGTTGCTCCAATCTTTGAAAATTAGGCTCATCTATTGCTTCAAGAATTTGATGGCCGGTCAGTGCTGCCCAGGGCTGGAAGCCGTAGCTGAACATTTCGTATAATGTTACTCCATACGCCCAAACGTCGCTTGCAGATGTAAATTTCAAATAGGATATGCATTCAGGCGCGCACCAGGCGATGGGCAATTTCAAATTGACATTGAAATTTGTCTGGTAGTAATCTTTACCCACCCCTAAAGCACGTGATAACCCAAAATCCGATATCTTGACCTTGTTTTTGGAAAACACAAGGATATTTCTGGCAGCAAGATCACGATGTATTAATCTTTTTGTTTCCAAATATTGCATTCCATCGGCGATTTGCACAGCGAAATCACACAGCGATAAGACCGGAAAACTCGCGCGCAAACTAGGCTCTTTAAGGCATTCCAGCAATGAGCGTAATGGAGCCAATTCCGTCACCAGCATCAGTGAGTTCGTGTCGAGTACGACGCCATACAGTCGTACAATATGCTCGTGATCAATCGAATGCATTATCGCGGCCTCCTTCAAAAATTCTATAGGATTGTTCTGCATCCTCTCGCGCGATAAACATTTAATCGCAACTTGTATTCTTTCTCCATCATTCGTCCATACTCCTTGCTGAACAACACCAAATTCTCCTACCCCAAGTTCCTTATTCACGATAATTGCATCAGCCGGAATCATATGTTTATTGGGAACACGTACTGACGGCTTGTCTTGTCTCTCTTCCGGTAACATACCCAGCACACCAGGAGACTGTTCTTCGCGTTTCGGTAGCAGCATTTTCTTAAATTTTGATAGATAATTTTGAGGAAAATGCTTCTGGAAGTATTTCTTTAGACGGCGCATCTCTGGCTTGCTCATCCCTATCGCATTCAAATCATCTTCTGTTACATATTTCAATTGTGCCGTTGTTTGCACTTTCAAGTCTCCTAATAAAAATATATCTTTATTTCATTAAATACATCTTACTAAACAATAAAATAAATAATTGAACAAATTAATATTTAAATATTGGTTATATCATGTATACTACATATATGAGGTGTTTCCCAAATACAAAAAAATTGAAGGGAATATTCCATAGCTTATTTTAAGAAGAAAAGGTTTCATAAACATATGCCCTAAACTACTTCGTTTTCAAAATACAAGGTGTCAAAGATGCACGATCCTGGTAGATTTAAAATGTTTTATCAGAAAATGGTTCTTAAGTATCCCAACAATAGTACCCCAACTATTTTAAATACTTGTGCAAACGTAAAAGCTCCAAGGAGATGTCTACACAAGTATTTAAAAAAGTTAGGGTACTATTGTGTGCAACAGAATATTCTTGAGATCAAATTAAGTCAAAAAGTCCTGTACCACTTTTTCCTTCAACAAATAACCATCGAGATATCGTAAGCTTTAAATATTGAAAAAGTTACTAAGTTTTCCTTAAATATCTAAAAAAATATTAGGCAAATAAAAAAATGTTTCAGACAAAAGTTGTTCAAATTAATTAGTAGAAAAAGATAATATAACAAAAAATAAAAGTTATTATTTATAAAATTTAACTTGAACTCTACTGAGCCCAACACGGGCCCCCGAACCCAAAATTTAATAAGATTGTCTATTGGCCCTCTTTGAACATCCTCCAACTTTTATCTAAAACATTTTTCCTATAAACCAATACTTTCTGAGATAATTGGCCGTTTCGGAACTTTTGGTACATATGGTATGATACGTGTATATGAGCAATTGTGCATGCGCTCATGTGGCATTTCTAGGCATTTCTAGAGATCCTATAGTGTAACAGAGATTCGCCAATGATCACGTGATCGTGAAATTACGCTGATTGGTCAAAGTAAACTGTGTTTATGTAGCTGCTGCCATATTAAATTTTATATAGCAACAAAGTGTGTGTTGTTGTGGGGGGGGGGGTTTCAGGCGTCCTCAGATGAGGACTATTACGGTGCTTTAGACCCTAGGGTAATTAGCACAATAAAGCTAAACCAAAATTAATGTTTTCCTCTAGGGATTAGATGACTTTGTCAATGTGTTTTAAAAACTTAAAAATAATAAATAAAATATTCCAATTCTTCGAATTAATGAGACGACATAGATCTATTTCTTCCAGATAGCCCTCTGCTCTTAATTCCACGTCTATATCAATCCTATGAGCGTCATACTTATGGCATCTTTAAATTTCACAACGTTTCAACCGCATTTTCGGTCCTTCTCAAGTGATTCATCAAGCTATGCATCCTCAAAAACCGCGTACAAAATATCGATTACGTCGCTGACATCGTGCCCTAACCACATCATGCACACGTAAAGCTAAAAAAGTGAAATAAACTCACGATAGTCAAAAAGATAAAAACGCTCAGAAGTCATAAAATAAAAAGTAAGAATACAATTAAATTAAATAGTAGAGTTAAAAATAGTTAAGTTATAAATAGTTAAGTTATAAATAATGTACAAAGTAAAAAGTAAGGCTTACATATTCTGTGCGTCAAAACGGAAAGTGAGAACGGTAGCGCAGAACGAAGAAACGTCGCAAGCCATAGCTGCGAACACATCAGTACAGCGTGACAGACGAAGTCATACTAAATGACTGATACATAACAAATAAATAGATGTGTTCACAGGTGGAAACGAGCAAAACAAAAGTGTAAATTAAGTGACGCCAATCAAACGGTTGTAATTCGCGGGCAGACTTTCTGTGTCCTTTTGAAGATT